AGACAAACAAACAAACACACACACACACACACACACACTCACACACACACACAAACACACAAACATGACAAACAGTATAGAAATTGAAAGTTCCCTTGGGTTTTGTCTCTAGTCTGTTCAGTTGCAGATCTGACAATTATGTAACACATTTAGTGTCTTTAAAAATGAAGAATGCTTGTGAAACACACCCAAACCCAATGATAACAGGATTAGTTGAGTTATTGTTGTAAATGCAACAGCACTGGTGTGTTCTGCTTGTAACACACACAGTGAAACGTGGAGGCGGGGTTATGTTACACCAGCCAATCAGAGCGCAGCATTCTGACACACAATCAGGTTAATCTGAACAGATAACAGCAGAAACACATCGCTCGTATGTCATGAATTCAACCAGTTCTGGCGGTTCGTGTGATTTCTATATGTTGTAGAATGTTTCTTGTTAAACAAATTCCACAAAGTGAATCAGCCGAATCAGCTGTAAACCATCACATTCTCTCTCTGAGCTGGCTGCAATGACAGGATTACACTCTCTAGTGACACTCACTAGAGAGAGAAACCCACTCTGGAGCGAGTGACTGACTGACCAATCAGATTACAGGACTGGAACTCACTGCTGTATAGTTCTGATTAATGTAAAGCTATAATTCAGATGATGAATGTGTGAACTCACTCTGTCTGCATTGTGAACTCCCGCATCGATCCCAGAATGCTCAGCTTCTGCTCCAGCGCCATGATCCGCAAACCGATGTAACCAGACAAGAACAGGAGAAGAATCGCACTACACATAAACAACCATAAAACAGCACAATTCAGCCTTTAACAGCACAGAGACATAAACACATCAGATTTATCAGATGTTTATCTGAACACACACGATGCTCAAACATGCCGTCAGAACAGATTCTGATTGATCAAACCTCGGCTGGTTACAGGACAGAGAACTGTGCTATGTGACACTGATTGTTGTGTTCAGATCTATCTGTGTGACCATCAGCCTCCAGCACTCTGAAGATCATCAGATCATGACATTTACTTTCCTGATCAACTGCATACCAGCTGCGTCTCAGTGAGCGCTCTTGAGATCTCCCATCAGCTGTTCGTTTCACTTTCTTTAAAGGAAGAGTTCAGCCAAAAATGAACATGTGCTGTAAATGCTCTGCAGTGAATGGGTGCCGTCAGAATGAGAGCTGATAAAAACATCACAATAATCCACAGCACTCCAGTCCATCAGTTAACATCTGGAGAAGACAAAAGCTGAAACACATCCAGCATTAAGACGTTTTTAACTAAAATACATAGAGTCCATAATCCATAATAACTCTTCCTCCAGTGAAAAAGTGCATCTGCTGTTGTCTCTCACATCAAAATCCAGCCACATATGTGTTTAGAGCTGTTTAAACGCTGCTTGATCTGTGCAGATTTCTCTCCTGATTCACACCAGAACACTGACTCACTGGAGGAAGCGTTATTATGGATTATGGACTCATATTTGAGTTAAAATCATCTTAATGCTGTATGTGTTTCAGCTTTTGTCTTCTCCAGATGTTCACTGATGGACTGGAGTGCTGTGGATTATTGTGATGTTTTTATCAGCTGTTTGGACTCTCATTCTGACGGCACCCATTCACTGCAGAGCATCCATTGCTGAGACACTGATGCAGTGCTACATTTCTCCAAACCTGATGAAGAAACAAACTTAATCTGGGATGATCTGAGGATGAGCATGTTTCAGCACATTCTCATTTCTGGCTGAACTCTTGCTCTAAGCAGGATCTGACACGAGCGTCTCTGAACACCAGTGTGTTTCCGAGCTGCTGAAACTCATTAAATGTCTGATATTTGCGCAAGCGCCGCATCTTTAATTGGCTTTACTTCATTTTCCAAACCCCTGGAGTATCTGTTGCTCAAACAGCAAACGGCTGCAATTCATTATGTGTTTTGCTAATGTCATTTGCTTTCGTCTCACAGTCGCTTTAATGTGCCGAGAAGCCGAACAGGAGCCGCTGCAGAACCCAGAGTTCTGGCCTTTGATCGCTTGATTTCATTCTGTTTGAATGTTTTGGCTGAAAGAAGCGCTTCGGAGGTTATTCAGAGGCTCTGATATCGTCTCATACTCACAGGATCACGTAGACGAGCAGGAGTTTGTTCAGGCTCTGCGTCTCATTGGACGACAGAACGGAGCTGACCTTCTCTGTTACCACGGTTACCCAGGAGCCCGCTATAGATCCGAGAACACCAGCGGAATCAAACTCACAGATTCTCAAAAAGTTATGAACAAACGTTAAGGTGAATAGAAAGTTCTGTGGTCTTCAATAAGGTTACGAGGTACAGATGCTCACCTGTGCTGTGCGGCTCCGGCGGGCTGATCTCTCTGCTGGGGTCATCGTGTGGCGTTGAGCTGCTTCTTGTTTCTGCTGCAACACAATTACAATTCATTTACAGTCTTCAATCTGCATTTTATGTGAAACTATTGAATGATAAACACCGTCCAGCAGCAGTGTCGACTGTAGACAGCTCAGCTTTGATTCATCCGGCTGTGTTACACACGAGTGAAGGATCAGACTCACGCTGGAGAGCTCGACTCGCGTCTGCTGAACGAATCGAGGGATTCTCAGGATTCTCCTCTAGACTCGACTGGCTGGAAATCTGGCAGAGGACACGGACACTCGATTACAAGGGTTACGAGTAAAAGAGACATGCATTTAAAGAGTGTGTTTTCATTCAGAGAGAGAGAGAGAGTTCAGGAAAACACAGATGATTCGTTCTAAATCATCTTCAGCTGATCTTACCGCGTCGATCTCCACATCAGGAGTGGAGGATTTCCAGCTGCTGCTCTCCATCTGACAGAAAACACAACACATCTCGCTTTACACTGATGAACACACACTTAAAGACGCAATCTTTGAGACTTCTAAGCATCTGCATTGATACACCATCACCAGATTGAGGGAAAACCTCAGTTCAGTCACTAAACTACGGACGTTACTACTGGAATTGAATGATTATTGGTAGTAGCTTGACTCGTGAGCACAAACGAAGCACAAACCTGCAGCTGTGTACAGAGCGACTGCAGCAGTTTGAAGCACGCTTCTCGATTCAGAAACAACACGAACAGATGCTGAAACACACACACACACAGGAACATCGGAGAAACAGTTCAGAAACACTTCACCCTCTCACTGTGGAGCGACTCATGAAGCTTCTCTGATTGATTGATACCTTGTGTCCGTCTGTGGTGATGACGGCGATGGCGTTGGGAACGATCTTAGCTGTGTGCTTCTTCTTTATGCTCTGAACGCTGGACATGTGGATCATCACCTACAGGAACACAAACACTTCATAATAAATGTCCTGTCATCTCTGTCATACTCAGTGATTTGTTCGTGAACAGAGGCTCAGATCGTCTCACCTTGGTGTCCTTCAGCAGCACAGATGAGTGGAAGCAGATGTGTTGACTGGACAGGTACATCTTACCGTGGTAAATCACCTCCTTCTGCAGGGCGCAGGTGTGCACTGAAACAGCACGATAACATCAGAGTCCTGCTTCACTTCTATAGAGCTTTATACTATTTCCACCTACTTCAATGCATCATCAAACTGGCTGTACACATCTGTACAAAACTGAGCTGAATCTCATATACCTTTAGATTATTTAAGCAGTGGAAAAACATGCTAGCGTGACTTATTGATCATGTCACGTTTTAGTGTCGTTTCAAAGCAGCTTCACAATAAACATGAAAACAACGGTGTTAATATTGTAAACTTCATCAAGTATAAAACAAACTGGATTTCAGCTCAACAGAAAACAATAGTGTCAGTCGTTCAGTGAGAATGTAGAGCTATAAAGAGAAACGTTTGAGATCGCTTCTAAGAGCGTTTTTCTAAAGCTATGGAAGCATTATTTCTGAATGTTAAGGGAATATTTAATTTCATCATTTTCAAACATTACCAGAACGTTACTTTTGAACTAAAACACTTTCCACGAAGGATTCTGTGCTGACATTTTGAGAGCATCACGATAACGAATGTTTTATTAACGCTCCTGGAGGAAGAACGTTTGTTCGTCACTTTGAGAGAACCTCGCCAGAAGGTTCTGAGCTGAGCACAGTTCGAGACATCATTGAGATCTCTTCTGGTACGCTAGAGGAGACACATCTGAGAAACACAAGACTTCGTTTACTCTCATTACAGACTGTGAGAAATAACTAGAGACCTCGGAGAGACTCACCGTGTTCCAGATCCTCCGTCTCGGGGACCTCAGGGAAGAGTTTGTGGAAGGTTTTGTTGTGGCTCTTGAAGCTCTGATCAAAAGAACAGAAGGTGATGATGTGTAAGTGTTGATGGACGGAGCTCACTGAAGAATAAACTCACATTACGAACGCCGGATCCAGCCTCCTCCTCTATAGTCGTGGATCTGATGGAGATCAGGACACACAGGTGTGAGGAGCTGACGTCTCTCCGCTTATACAGTTATGCGAGTCTGATTAAATGGGTCACTGGACTTCTTAAGAAGCGATGAGTCTCTGAAGGTTCATCTGCAAGCCTCACCTGCGTGAGACGCTGCCGCTGTGCTCCAGGAACTCCAGATGCGTCTCGTCTGGACTCTGGGAGCCTCTGCTGTCTGAAGATTTTCTCAGCATGCTGTTCTTGGGCTTTGCTGCGCTTCCACTGATGTCCAGATGATACCTGCACACAAACACACACATAAGAGCCGACAAAAACAGACCCGTCATGATCTAATCGCACACCACCGCACATCTTCACCTGCCACGGTGCTGATTTAGTTCATTGCACAGAATAAGTGACAGTGAATGTCACAGATCTCATGTTACTCCGTGTAAAATGAAACTGAAATATTGAAAACACTTTCACAATAGTTTGAAGATGATATCTGATATCTTTCTGAAAGAACAACAGGAGCGACTTTATACAGCAGCCACCAGCAAATCCCAGAAAATTCACTTTATCAAATATCAGCAGCAGAAATCATTTCATATTCATATTTACAGGCAGAGATTAGATGATGTCTTGAAACTGATTTTTTAAAGATCTTTGTCGAGAAAAAAAATACACTATTATAGTACAACAAACAATATTGTATAATTTCAGTAAATTAAACCATTAACGTTACTACCGTCCTAGAATTATTATGAGAAGTAATTTGACTGCTATTGTTTCTGAAATAAGTACTTTTCTCACAGATGCTTTAAAAAAAATACAAATCAAACAAGTACAAGCTTAACGCTACAGACAAAGCAACAGTTCAGAGACAAGTCGTCAGCAACCGAACAACCCTCAAAAACCAAACAAACCTCTATTTGGAAAAAAATAAAAGAACAACAGGAGCGACTTTATACAGCAGCCACCAGCAAATCCCAGAAAATTCACTTTATCAAATATCAGCAGCAGAAATCATTTCATATTCATATTTACAGGCAGAGATTAGATGATGTCTTGAAACTGATTTTTTAAAGATCTTTGTCGAGAAAAAAAATACACTATTATAGTACAACAAACAATATTGTATAATTTCAGTAAATTAAACCATTAACGTTACTACCGTCCTAGAATTATTATGAGAAGTAATTTGACTGCTATTGTTTCTGAAATAAGTACTTTTCTCACAGATGCTTTAAAAAAAATACAAATCAAACAAGTACAAGCTTAACGCTACAGACAAAGCAACAGTTCAGAGACGAGTCGTCAGCAACCGAACAACCCTCAAAAACCAAACAAACCTCTATTTGGAAAAAAATAACTCTATTATAACTGCATTTTGAGGAGTCAACGTTGCTGAATTCTGTATTCACCATCAGTAGCTGCGGTAAAACAAAAGGCATATAGTTATGTAGCAGAATGAAACTAAGCCCCAAATAAGACCTGATGTTTAGAGTCTGTCAAGCTTCCAGACGTTACCTGAGATACTTTCTCCAGAGAAACTCACTGTCCTGCTTCAACCCTCACTGACAGAAAGCTTTCCATCAGACAGACTGAGACCAACTCAAACACACAGCCGACGTCAGCACACTTCATCTGACGGAGTGTGAACAGAGTGGATTTGACTGAAGACACACCGACACCGGCAGAACTGGTTTCTGCTCTGGTCCAGCCTAATGAGCCTCTATGGAAACACGCCTGCCATCACTCATGCAAACAAGCCTTCAACAACAGAACGAGAACACGGACCGATGAACAGACACAATGCACTTCAAAAAGTCATCTTAATATCTACAATTATTTCATCCTGATCATCTGAAAATATGCATCACTGCAATAGGCATTTTTATGTTAAAATGTAGTAAAAATATGTTTTAAAAGGATGCATAAATGAGAAATAGGCATAAAATGTAATTCATGAAATTGTATTATGTTCATGTAATTCTCAGGTTGTCCTGGAGCCTCTTGTGAGCCTCTTAATTTTATTACTACAGCTGCTACTACTGATAATAATGCCACAAAAAAGTACACCAAATTCTACTCCATTCATTAAAGAACGATGTGTGAAACGTGTGAATACAGCTGAGATCTAATGGTTTATATGTGAGGTGTGAATGTGAACCGTAGCCAGAGGCCTCGTCTTTTACTGCGGTAGAAATGAGCACAGACAGGTTGAGTTTGAAGACACAAGCAGCTCCAGCATCAGCAGATTGACTGACTGACATTCTTCTGTCTGTGAAACACTTTCACTTACTGCAGCGTCTGAAATCAAACACGTGAACTGGCCTTGTCTGTGTGTGTGTGTGTGTGTGTGTGTGTGTGTGAGAGAGAGAGAGAGAGAGTGTGTGTGTGTGTGTGTATGTATGTGCATGTTTATGTGGTTTATGAGGACACAAATTTGTATAATAACATGGGTGTGACATAGGTATTACAACGAGAAGGTGATTTATGAGGACATTTTCAGTGTCCCCGTAATTCAAAACGCTTATAAATCACACAGAATGGAGTGTATTGAAAATCTGAAATAGCAGAAAGTCTCCTGTGAGGGGTAGGTTTAGGGGTAGGGTTGGTGTAGGGCAATAGAATATACGGTCTGTACAGTATAAAAACCATTACGCCTATGGAGAGTCCCCACAAACCATAAAAACAAACCTGTGTGTGT